CCTGATCCTGGGCAGCCTTTGGGGAGTCCTCTCCAAAGCTAAAGCACTGCTGCACCTCGAGGAGGTTCTCTTGAAGCGAGGGCCCGTGCCTCTCCCGCAGAGACTTCAACAACACCTCCCTGCTCTCTGACAGCAGGTTTCTCCTTCCCAAAAGCAGGCCCTCCACAGAGTCACACAAACGGACTCCCAGTGCTCTGACAGACTTAGACACAGATTTGGGATTTTGTCTTCTGTGCTGCACATCAAAACTATCAGTAGTGGGTGAGCTTGGGAGCTGAAGCGGGCTTGAGCTGAGACCACTGGTTTGCTTCTGCTGGACAGGAGACTCCAGAGGCTTCGGTGTTAGTTCAAGAGTAGAAATAATTGGTCTCTTTACCTTCTTCTTTAATGTCTTCAAACTGTCTCTGTCAACAATCGGAGTCAGTTGTGACTCTGTGTCCTTTTCAGACATGACATAGTTTGTCTTTTTGGTCTTGGTTGTTTCTACACGGAGGGAGCTGTGTTTCGATGAGCTTTTAAAACTTTCAGATGAACAATTGACTGGCTGCTGTGGTCTCTGATCTGGTCTAACATCTAATCTCTGACTATTAAACTGAAGGTTTTTCTTTTCTTTCTTTTGGGAATCATAATGGGCCTTTGTAGCAGGGTCTGCTTTCTTTTTAGATGGCGCAGCAACATCAGTATCAGCACCCAACAAACCATCACTGGAGAATGGCGCTGGAATGCCAGATGATGAAGACAGATGTGAAGTAGCATTGCATTGTTCTTTTACATGCCGTCCACTTTGCTTGAGTTTCCTCTGCTCACTTAGCAGCCGTTCAATATCAATAGACTTCACTTCATGGTTGAAGAGGCCGTGGTGTCCTATCAGGCGGCTGTCTGTGATGATGCTGGGCCCCGCTGCAGCAGGAGCAACACTTGGAAACTGTGTCTCTTTCACCGAAGGACAATGACAACTGCTATGACAGCAGTTATGGAAATGCGCCATGTCTTTACTGCTTTGGTGACGGTGGTGATGGCGATGCGATTTGGTGTTTGAGGTCTCTTTCCAACCGCCTCTCACCAGACTCCTCTCCCTGCGAGTTTTCAGTCGCTTCATCTTCTGCTGCCCTTCTGTCTTACTACAGTGTTTAAAACACTTGGAATCTGCATTGAATCTGCTCCCGAAGCCGCAGTTTTTCTCTGTTGTTTTTGATTGCTTGCGGTTCTTTTCTTTTTCTGGTTCAGCCCTGACACATGTGTGGCTCATGCTGCAAAGGATTCTGTAGAAATGCAGCATAGTTAGTCATCTGTAAGTCCACAGCAAACAGAAATAGAGAAACTTCTACAGGATGCTGTTGCACTTGCGCAACTATCTAAAGTACAAGTCCAATGTATTATTCTTGGCAGTTCATAACAGTGTTTGTATGCAAGAGAGACAGATTATGTTGCTACCCATGGTAAAAAAAACTTTCACTTTTAATGAACATTAACACTGATAAAACTTACATTAAACCCTAAACTGAGGCTCAAGTTACATAGTGTGAATTATAGGAAATAAATTAGCATGGCATTTCAAAACATACTAAATAAAATGGTACACACAAGGCAAAACTTTAAAAACGCAGCATTTACAGTGTCTAATTTACTACCATATTCACCTGCAAGAAGACAGACTCTGCCCCAGTCCCATCAAGCAATGCCACACTTGTCAATGTAACACATACTGACCACTTTATTAAAATTTCACAGCAGCTGGTGCAGCAACGGGCACATCTGACCACTTAGCAGCGCGTTAAGGAAAGTTCTGCTGCACCTGTTATCAGATTGTCTCTCCTCAAATACATCTCCACAATATTCCAAACATCAAAATCAATTTGTCATTTAGTGGCACAACGTTCATAGAGATAACCTGGAAATGGTCTTTTTAAATCATTTGTAGTGACTCTGGCAATCTGTTTCACTTATTGTGTGTGCCAAAAAAAAAAAATCAATAAACTAATACTTTCATCAGCAAAAAAAAAAACAGCCCAGTGACTACAAAAATGAACTGGTCTATACTATTTGAATCTTGAACACCTTCATACTACTAGTGAGCAGTCAAGAACAGTAAGAACAAAAATATAAAATGACTAACAAACAATAAAAGTATAAGCAGTCTAAAGTTAATCAACTACTTGGTATTTTTAGAACGAGTTTGAAAAATTGCACTACATTGGGAAAAAAAAAAAGGTCCAGCAGAAAAATAGGAAATAAATGGGATCAGGAAACGGGACCACCACTGGACCTGGTAATGTAAAACTATGAAGCGAAATATTATCAGACTTTTTTCTCACTTCCTTCAAAGACTAACGGTAATTTCAACAGCAACCACGAGCATTGTGGCAGCATCCAAACAACTGCGTTTCCAGACATGCAGCCTTTGAATTAGCCCAGCTAGCTAACTCTACCAGGCAGGTAACGTCAACCAGCAGGTGTCGTTTAACTTCCAGCACAGGTGTTTTGAATTATAGCTGTGGCTGCTAAGAAACACAGAAACTAACCCCGACTTCAAGAACTCCCAACACGAGACAAATCTTTTTTATACAAACGAAAAGTCATCAATTAACAACGTGTTACTCACCAAAGTGCTCCTCAGTCCCTTTTTTTGTTGTTTTGCCGCATATTAATCTATCGTTGCTCGGCAACACGGCGCAGAGCGGGTCCTTTGCGCAGCACTGACTCTCGCGAACAAGGCAGGGCGAGTCCATTTCCACAGACGGAGAGGTAACGCTGTGTCATTTTATATCAATTTCTCCTCTTTATTAATGTTTTATTCGTTATTTCTTCGTAAGACATGTCCTGAAATCCATTCCCAATCACAATATAACAAAAGAGATGTTGTATGATTTGAAAATACGTGTAAACGTTTATGTTGTTGTCCACGGAAGATAATGGTACATGCAAATATAGCGAAAATTTACTTCCTGAAACTGGATCGGGACATTACGATATTTTGACTTAATGGTAACCTGTGTTCAATAATGTCGCTTAATGTCGCTGTTATTTAGTGCTTAACCTTTTCTATCGCAGACATTACAGGCTTGTATAACTTGACATTGATGCTACACGTGCCTGACTGTTATCTCCGTTAAACCTCATCTATTTGTGTTTTAGCAGGTAGGCTAGCCATTGTGGCTAATTCCGTCAACATCCATAGATTTTGATGGGAATTGCAACGACAGGCTATTGATTCAGCTTGATTAAGTCTTCTGTTATAAGTCTCAAAAAAACTCTACTGCTTTCCAGCACAGGTAGAGCCAAGACATGAGTGCAGAAGACCCAAATCCAGCCGCCACACCCACTCCCTGTATAGACACCCAGGGAGATGGACGATGGATGTCTCTGGTGTGTGAAATAACCTCATGATCAAGAGTTTTGGTTTACTAGTTCCTTGCATGTTACAAAGCTGCAACATTAGATGTTTTCCCCCTATTTTCTCTAAGGTTTGGCTATGTGAAGACTGATGAGAAAGTGAGGCATCATCAGTTGAAAATAGCCCAAGTTTTACGTCAAAACAGCTTAGTAAAGAAAAATATAATACATTCACTAGCTGCCATTTATGTTTTTGGAAGTTTTATACTAATAGGATTTTGTAGATAGTCCATCAAATAGGAAAACACAATTCCAGCAGATGCTTTTTTGTACTAGCAGTCCTTCAGTAAAAAAAACAACAAATCTAATTTACTTAGGGGCATGCACGTGTATTTCATCCATTAACGATAATAAAAAAATAGTATTCCAGCAAATATTCTTCAGTTTCTCTGTCTAAATGGCAGTATTTATCCAACATTTTTTGAATTTTGTGTCTGGCTTTTCACATCAAGTTCCAAAGATACTGTTCATTTAAGATCTGCAGATTACAATGCGCTATCTTATGGGAGGCTTGTTACTGTGTACAAAAATATCCCAGTTGCCGACTTTTCTTCTTTTCCTTTTTTCTCTTTGTAGCACAACCGCTTTGTGTCTGACAGCAAAGACAAAGAACCCGATGTCCTGTTTGTTGGAGACTCTCTTGTTCAGCTCATGCACCAGTTTGCGGTAAAACACAGATCACATTCATCTACGTGTTCCGATCTGTAAACAGCGTTTGGTAGTTTGTCCTGATCCGATAAGACATCTACGCATGCTTTGAAATTGTGTGAACATGTGGACACTTTGCTGTTGCGTTCTGTCTACAGATATGGCGCCAGCTGTTCTCTCCTCTACATGCCCTCAACTTTGGGGTGGGTGGTGATGCAACACAACATGTGCTGTGGAGACTGAGCAATGGCGAACTGGATAACATCAGCCCAAAGGTCCAAAACAATGCTGAGAATAGAGAACATGATCATGCTTGTTTATTCACACAATAGACTGATGGCGCTAACATTGAAATTCCAGTTATAATGACCCGGAACTGTCAATTGTGTGTCCTTATGTCATGTATTCCTCTCTCTTTCTGTTGTTTTAGGTTGTCGTGCTATGGGTTGGCACTAATAATCATGGTCACACTCCTGAACAGATCTGTGGAGGCATCATGGCCATTGTCCAAGTCATCAAGAACAAGCTCCCCCATTCCCGCACGCTTGTACTTGTAGGTTTTTTTTCAGATGCATTCCTTAAGGATATCAAATCGCCCACATGTTTGTTGTAACTGAAAAATGAAGGTCATGTGAAAATCAAACTGTATAATGACCTTGTCCCTGATCACATTACAGCATTTAGTTGAATCTTGGTTGAGCAACAGAGTTCTGGATTCATCACAATAGTTTCTCACTCAGAGTACTGTGAACTGTTCCACCTTCTGTAATTTAAAAAAAAAAAACTAAACAGTGCTTGTTTTGAAGAGGGCCCAGATGTAACGATAACTAATTTATGATTCAACTGCCATGTTGGTCCATAAATAATCTCATTGAACCTACTGTTCCTCTTGTGAAACACTATCTTTTTGGTGGTGACAGACTTTGTATGGATCCATTTATTACCAAGAATAGAAATGAAAATGCTAAAGACATTTTGTCCTCTGCTTTTCAGGGTATACTGCCCAGAGGTAAATCACCAAACCCTCTACGGGAGCGAAATGCCAAGGTGAACATGCTAGTCCAGGAGGCCTTATCATCTCTTCCGCATGCCTCCTTCCTGAATGTGGACCCTGGCTTTGTCCACTCCAATGGTAGCATCTCCCATCAAGACATGTATGACTACCTTCACCTGACCCCTCAGGGCTTCCAGGCTGTGTGTGAACCCCTCCATGCTCATCTCAAATCTATGCTAGATAAACCTGCTGAGAACTGAGCAACCAGGTTACAAACGTACACTACCGCAGTGGTCCTCGTCCCTGTTTCCACCGAGCATCATACTTTGCTCATTAAGACCTCGAATGGTGGATAGAATCAGTTATTAAGGGCTAAGAGCTGCACAAAGTCCTCTCCACAGTCAGGGTTGGTGACCACTGTTACAGATAATGGGACCATACATTTTTTTTTTGTGTTAATGATGCAGTCAAAAATTACATGTGCTGTGTTGTAGAGAGACAACGTCCTGCCTGAATTCCCAGTTAGCATCTGTTCTATTAGCGTTTACTCCCCAAAATGTTTTTTTTTTTTCACAGAAGGATTATTTCTTTTCTCTGCTGCATGATGCAAGATATAAATATGATAAGGGCGAGTCCATGGTGCCATTGCCAGTGACTCAGCTGTCAAGACAATAAAGTAACATCTGAAGAGACGTCCTATATAACACACATATGGACATAAATTAATTAAAATGTTCAGTGGTTAATAATAAAGCTTTTAAAAATATGCACATTCTTTTCAAAATGAAAACATTCTGTACGTCCGAATGTTATGTGTTGCCTCTTGTTAAAAGCTGAATTTATAACCATTAGCTGTAGATCGCATCCCCTCAAAGCTGAATTTACTTGAGAATACAAGATTTTCACAAGGTCTGATGTAGAAACCAACTATCGCAAAATACGTGGTCTGACTGAGGCTACAGGAATAGGAGCTGGTTGAAGTTTGGAGTTTACTTGGCAGTACCATTAATGTGATACCTAATGTTTTTTGTACGTGTTAATTTCAATGACCTAAAGTTTCCATTTTGTTTGTCTACACATGCAAACGATCGACCTTTGCTGTGTGCTTGTTTTTCATCATTTTTTTGTTGTCTCATTAATGTCCTTTTCCCTTCTCCTGTTGTAACAGCGACCGTGTTTCATTGCAAAACATAGATGTGTTTGAGTAGGCTGTGAAGTTGTATTGACGCATCGAGTTACTTTTGCTTCAAGTTCAATCTTCTCTGCAACATATTTGCTCATTGGACCACTGAAAAGGCTTCACTTCAAATGCTTCAAAGAAACTTAGATAAGGATTGTGCTGCAGAACGTGAATTGTGGTCCACAATGGATGATTGTGTAAAGTGAGGAAAGAAATGCATTAAATATAAAAGAAAGAAAGACGGTTTCATTGTCCCTTGATTGACTGATCAGATATGTTTGCAGATATTAAGACACTGATTGCCACTGGTGCAGAACTGTATTTGTGGTCCCCACTAATGGTGAAGTTCATTGAGAGTGCACATGCACAGGTATGTCCACAGGAGATTTATTTCTTTTGCTTGACTGTTGTAAGCAGAAGCTGTGAAACCTGAGGAGGGTGAACAAGTCTCGCTTTGCCCCTGCCAACTTTGCCAATATCAACGCACTATCATTCATCACCCATAATACGAAACACAAAGGCCTAGAATTTGATCTGATAGTAGCAAGCACCATTATACGGTATGTGTCTGGGCACTAACCACAACCAGTAAGTGAGATTAACATCAGCATCTCTTAGACGCCATGTTTTTAAGTGCCTTGTATTTTTTAAAAGGGTGTAACAGATACTGAAAACAAAATGTGATGGTGATGTGGATTAGTATAAGAAAGCTCATAGATGAAGTGGAAAATGTATATGACTTTT